TCCAATGAGTGATACGACACATGCGAGAATATGTACCGAGAAACTTAAAACCACGTATGTATGTACATGTATGTCATCAATTTCACCCACCTTTCCAGTATTGCATGCATGTAGTTCCCAATTCTCATGTATCCCATTGAAGTGTATCCCAAACCCACACCTACATAATTCACGTACAGCTTCATGGACAGTAACTGGTGGAAGAAAACAGAAGCACAAAAGAGATCATACATATCGTAAGAATTGTGGAAGAACAAAAAAAAAAAAACGTAGTAACAAAAGAAAAAAGCAGGAAAAAAATACAAAATCTCCATTCCCACAAGTAATATTACCCTATCTAGTACTCAACCAGTTTCAACTACTAATATTACATTTTTCTAATCTTCACCTTCCAACCACGCCCTCGCAACCTCTCGGCTGAGCCTCAGCCTAACCACTCGGATGATTTCCTCAAGTCCACCCTTCTTCCCATCTCCCACAAAGCCATCTCTCCAATCCCATGCTCTCTCAATAGCGTCCATATCGATCCCATTCAAAAGAACCCCCTCATCAATCCCCTTCCTCACCTCCTCCCACGAACTCGATTTAATTATGCTGTTTCTCCCGCTACTAGCTCCGCCATTCGCCAGAGAAGCAATGTCCTTCTTGGCCGTAATAACCCTTTTCAGGAACTCATCGGCGCGGCGCATCGATTCACCTCCAACGAGTTCAAAGTCCGTAAGAACCTTCATAACATCCATGCACTCGCGCACGGTGATGCAGCGTTTCGCGCTTCCAAGGAACGGGATGAGTTCACCAAGGAGCGCCCCAAGAGTCCATTCTTCCACTGCGCACTCCCACTCAGGGTCCAAGACGCCCCCGTCGAGTTTCTCGCCAGCGGATTTGATGGTAGCAACGAGTGCAGAGACAGCAGGAGCGAACTTTCCAGCATCACGGAGAGCGTAGAAGTTTCTAAGGGTGGCATATCCGGAGAGCTCGAAGCGCAAGATCTGAGAGGAGGTGGATTTGGGGGAGGATAAAAGCTTTTTGAAGGTATCATCAAGGGTTGAGTCCGGGGGGGAGGCGCTAGAGAGGAGGAGGGAAGAGGAAAGAAGTTTGGTGAGTAGGTTGTGAATTGAGGGGCGATGATAGGAAGATAGGGAATAGAAGTAAAGAGAGTCACCGTATGAGGTGGCAGAAGTGACGAGGCGACCGGCGAATGACTAACAAAATATATTAGCATAGATAACTAAAATGTGCTAGAGGCACTTACTGCTGCGATATCTGAGGCTTCATCGGTGAGATTTTTCTCGTTACAGTGCTGCAACAACTTTTGCACCCTGTCCTTCGAGTTGAGTTCAAGCTGGGTAAGTAACTAGATATACAAGTCAGTTATACTTCTAAATCGATTTCTACGGCGATTCACGTGCCTTTCCAGCCAGTTCTTTCCCGCCTTTGACTCTCTCTAATATACCAACACCAGCCTCCCACCCTTCGAACTTCGCATTCTCATCCAGCCATTCGATGCCAAATAGTCCCGCCGCATACTCCTTGAGCACACCATCGGCCTTATCTGCTTCTGTTACTACTCGGCCCATTGTCCCAAAGACCGCATCATCATCCTCATTAAAGCCATCCATCATGCCACCACCCCTTCTCCTCTCAAGGGCACTTTCATTTATGGGATTTCGGAGAATGGACCCGGCCCACCCACAAATTTCTACAGCCGCCGAGGCAGCAAGTAGCGAGAATGTAGGGAGAAAATCTGTTATAGCCGTCGGATCACCAGTCATGATCCCGCCGATTGTAATATCCAAATCAGATGTCGGATCAATTGGCATGTCTTCCATGAGAGACTCAATAGTTTTTGACAACCTGACTAATTCCCTTTCTCGGCGGTTACGGTCAACATGCTGGAGGTCTCCTCCTTCCGTATCAGAGTCCTCTTCATCGACTGAATCGTCATAGTCGCCCTTATTGGCTGAATCTGCGGGGTTCCAGAACATGAGACCAGCTACTGCTTCCTCCCACTTATCGGTGCTTGATATGACAGCATCTCGGTCCCCACGCATGACTTCGTAGATTTGCCTAAATCCACGAGCTACATCTTGAGGTAGCGGCGCCTTCTCTTTGGGTTTTCCGCTAGCAATGCTAAGGCCGAATGAACCTAGCCCATTCCGGGGATGGTAGTTGTTGTAGTAACTATCATCCGTATCATCGAAAACAGAGTCCTCGGCATCAGTATTCCTCCCTCGGAGCTCCTCGCAAGCGGAAAAAACGCTGCCTTGCCATATCCGCCAGGCAGCAGGTGTGCCGTGATGCTTTGCGGTCTTCGGAAAAAAGCCTGTTTCGCTTGGTGCATAGCTTGAGCGTGCTAATCCGGGGCATGTTTTAAGCAGTTTCATACAAGTAGTGGTGGCAGCCTTGATGGTATCAATTTCTCCACGGGTATATCGTTTCTCGATACCAGGAACAGATTGGCCGGAGCTGGTATTAAACTTAGGGGCTTTGGTGACGGGTGCGTCGACACAGAGTTGATCCCAGTCTGTAGTGCGCATAATGTCGTGCACTTCTTGAACCTCTCCGCGAAGGATGAGACGGTGGATGAAATCCCAGTAGTTTGGACTAAAGGCACAGTTCGGGTGGAAAGATTTAAGAGAGTGTAGTTGCTGTCGTGATGGATTCTGCTTGTGCGTGTAGAGCCATTTTCGCAATGTCTCAGGGACATTGGCGCGAGAATGGTGCAAAGGAAGAAGAAGAGAAACAATATAGTATGCTTTATAAAGCCGTGACTTGGTGTCATTCTTTGGAAGCTGCTGGGCAAATATTTCGAGCCACTCCTTTGAACAAGTCGTCAATAATTGTTGCTTTTCTTTTGGGGAAGGCGGGGCGGGGTGATCCAGCTCCATATCCAGATCTTCCTCTTCAGAATCATATCCCATTGGCTGGGAAAGCGCTGACCCGGGAGGTTCCATTTCTAGGAATAACCTCTGCATTACATCCTCCGTATTGATAATTAGTGGCCCAGGTTCGGATACGATTCCTGGCTTAATCACATCCCCCGCTCCCAGTATCGTTCTCGGGCTATCCCCGTTGTTTCTGGTCCGAAGAAGATCAAAAGATCCTTCGCCTTCTGTCTCCTCTGTCTCCTGTTCCACCTCGTCGTCTTCGTCGTCAAAGATCCCTGATTCGTCCATGTCATCCTCGTCATTAAATTCTTGGTGGGTGTCATATTCCTGGTAAGAGCCCTCGTCCTGACTATCTTCAAAAATCTGTGTTCCATCTTCTTCTTCGTCGTCGCCATCAGTGGGCGACATGTATTTGCCCCCGATTCTGCTCTCACGTCCCCCGCGCGCGCCAAACTTTGAGGAATCCCCAGTGACGTGTTTGCCAGTACCGCCGAGAGGAAACTTTGGCGTGGCATCTGGTGAATCAAACAATCCCATCCCATTACTTTTCTGGCTCATTTTGAAACCCGGGGTAGAGCCGGCAAACAGCGTCGCGGGAGTGGTACTAGAGCGTTGTTGCTGAGGTGTGGAAGAGGCGGAAAAGAGGCCATTGCTGGGAACGTTTCCAGCGGGTGGAGAGAATAAGGAAGCCGGAGGATTTGGATCCGAGGGGAGTCGAAATACGGGAGGGTTTGGAGGAGCCATGGTTTGAGGATATGGATGGAGGAGGATTCAAAGAAGAGACCTCGCGTGTGTGTTTTTCACGAAACCCGGGAGGGTTCAGCAAGGCCAACAAGCAGGAGAATGAATAGCCAGCAGCAGATGAAGCTGAATAGATGGTGTGTGGGTGGGGCTACGCAATGAGGGCGAAAGGGAGCAAGATGCAGCTGCACAATCACGTCGATGGATGTTTGGGTAAAGAGGGATTCCAGCCCTTTGATGGGAGGTTTGGAATTTGGCGATCGCGACCAGGGTTAGGGGTGTGATGATGCACGTGTCACGGGGTATCGAGATATTCGGTTGGCTTAAGTCGTTACACGAGAGCCGCAACGCGTGAAACAGAACCTGGGCAGTGGAAGGAAAATGCACAAGAAGATATTCGTACCTACAGGCTATTGGAGGTTTAGAGCACGATGATAGATAGGAAGAAAATAGTGTAGGCACGGCTAGTTACAAAGATCGTATGACTTATGTAGATACATGTAGAGATGAACCTATCGCCTATCGGATATGTGATAAAGGTGCAGGAGACTCATTCAGAGCAGTGGATGGCATCAAGAAGAGATACGGTACTGTAAATACATCTTACATGTACATTTATGGACTCCAGAATAAATGAAACAATAGCACCGGTACTGTATCGACCTCTCCTGTATCAGAAGGCTGACTCCGACTCGGCATAGGTCACACCCGTCACCTGGCACGAGACTTACCTTCCACTACGCTAACCACATTATCCGTGGTGCGCGTGGATGTCGAAGTTGCTTCTGCGGTTGCTCTCACTGTTTGCTAGAGTACTTCTCTAGCGCTGGTTTTGTTACCAAACTGGGCCACTGAGCATCGCCACCGACGGTTGCAGTCATCGATCGTTGAATAATTCGAACGCAACCTTAAGAAGAGATAAGTTCTCTACATGTAGAATATATCTCACAAGCCCGCACATGTATCAGGATACCCATCCCTTCTACCTTCTTTCTTATCCTCTAGCTCTGACAGCAGCTCCCCTGCGTCACCGTTGCTGTGCACAAACTTCCGCTGATCACATTCGCTAATCACCGTATCGAGGTTGTGGCCCTCATATTAGCTAGGAAGCTATTACACCACGTCGAGCTCTTCCTGTCTTCCTCGGCCTCCTTCTTCACTCTTTCTTCCCCCCGTCAACCTTCCCCCCACCAGACCCTCTCCACCCCCTCCCGGCCCGCCCCCCATTCTATTTACAACAAATCTCTCCATATCTATAACTACGTCTACGATCTATCCTGGGGGCTTCCCGTCTAGCCACACAACCCCGGCTTTAATATCTCCACCCATACATCACCCCGCACTGTAATAGATCCAAGCTCGAACCCCGAGATGTTTTCCCTACCGAGCTATCTTCCAGCTCAGTGGGAGAAGAAGATTGTTCGTTATGTTTTGAATCACTTTGACCTCCTTGAAGAACGCACTCTAGGCGACCTATCAAATCTCGAGGGTTCAGTGGGCCGTAACTCAGTTCTTACGCTCAAAGATGTCGGAATTAAAGTTGATGTACGTATCGCCCGGATATTTCTCCAGCCCTAGTTTGTTACTGACTTCGCTCCTAGAGACTTAAGCAGCTCATGAAGATTCCTCTTCCTCCCCGAGTGGCACTCACACATGCCGTAATCGGTACACTAACTTTAAGTCTTCCTGCAAATTTCCTACTGTCTGGATCAATAGAGATACTTCTCTCCGACATAAAAGTGTCCGTTACGATCGCTCCTGTAGCGCAACCATCTTCCCCACCCTCCCCAGGAAGCCGGCAAAACCCCGACAACAGCCCTGATGTCGATTCTGAAGACGAATTGCCCACTACAGCTGAGGATCTTGCTCAGTCATTTTTGCAGTCGCAACCCCAGCGCGAGAAGGACCAATTGCTACACTCTCTTTACCGGGACCGAGATAACGTGACCGCGTCAACGCATTCAGCGGCCAGTACAGCTTCGTTATCGGATGATGACGATGATGAAGAACTAGGCGTAGGGACAAATGTTGGTCTGCCAAAAATACTGGCAACTCTGTTTAAAGGAATCGGCGACAGGCTGAGGATCAAGATACGGGGGGTAGTCATCTCACTGGAGAGTACCGCGCCTGAGGAACACGGAGGCGAGAAGATTATGCTGGATTTAGAGGTCGAAGATGTTGATGTGGAGGGTGTCACCACAAATTCAGTCACACCTGCCGGAGAACCGGGCATGCGCCACAAGGAGGGAAAGCGGCGCATTACTCTCGATAGAATCAAAGCATATATCACTTCCGATGCTTCGTTGTTCGAGCCCCCAAGTCCGCCCGCGGCCAGTACTATTTTTGGTGAAGCTTCAGAAGTTTTGACTGAAAAAATGGCATCGAGCAACATGGCGGCCAGCAGGGATACGTTGACACAGGCCGGGAGTTTTCATAGTATGGCGACTTCAACAAACACTATTCGGGATCGACCCCTACAGTCACCGCCCCATGAAGAAGCTCCACCTACAGTGGGAAAAGCTCTAGAATCACATGTATCCGAGGATGGAGGTGTGCATGTAGATGGGAATTTTGACGAAAACAACTTCTCCGGGAGTGATAGATTTGCTGACTTTTCAGACTCTTCGTCCGATGATGAGGTCTTGGCATTTGCGCCATCGCCATTTGCCGCTTCAAGTCGGGTTCATACCTCCTGTTCCCTCCCGAGACAGCCCATAAATTATGACGTCGACGAAGACAGCGAAGATGAAGGAGGGGCTGCTTTTGCGCCGAGTATGGTCCCTCCGATGGAATTGTCGTCGTCGTCGTCTTCTTCAATTCGTGCCCGCCTACCGCCTTCATTCTCCCGTACCGGTTCGCCATCTGGATCAATCCATGCCCGATCTCAATCGGCATCATTTTATGCATCTTCACCATTATCCTCAACACATATCCGCTCACAATCGGGATCGTTTTATGATCGCTCGACATCAACCTCGGTGCACATACCTTCAACAAAGGCCGTGGACCAGCCATTACCATCTGACAGTCCGCCTTCACCTATGGCGAAATCCTTGATGCTAAGCAAGCAAACTCCAGAGTCATCCCCGAGTGAAACTGAGGGTAGTGAATCTGGAGATGAGATGGATGCAGAAGCAAGCCGTATGCTCAGCGAATCTACGCTGTTTACCCATAGCGAAGCGGGGAGTTTATATCTTTCAGCTACTAGTGGGGTATTCAACGAGTCGGATAGAAAGGATGAAGAGGAGGGGCGATTGAAGGACGAGGTGGATGAGGAGGAGGTTGATGCAGACGAAATGGACGCCCGTTTAGATGCATTGATTGGCGATGTGGCAGCTTCAAGGGCGGGAACCTCTATCAGGACCATGGAGAAATCTTGCGGTGAAAATTTGAAGGTTGGAAGGAGGATAAGGAAGAATATTTTTGGTTTGGATAAGATCGAAGTTTTTATTCCATCTCTTTCAGCAGAGGAATCTCGAAGCTCCGGTGCTCATCATGCTGAAACAGGGGCTTCTAATAATTCCGGAAGCAACGAAATGGAAGACAACCATTATCCAAATGTTCCAGGCGCCTTTTCAATGTATGCTTCGAAACGGAATATCGCCTCACCTCCAAAGTCTGTCTCTCCCCCGCGATCAAGACGCCAAACAATGATAAAGATTGTGGATAAAAAAACTCCCCAAAGCACCACCGATCACTCGCAAGAAAAACCCGATGTTGAGATTAGTATCGGTAAAGTAGGAGGTGCTGTGGATTTCTCTACCGCTAGGATTCTAGGAATAGTTATTGAATCCATTACTGGGGCGCTTTCCGAGGGCCCAGACCTGAAAGGAAAACGTGGGTCAGGTAACACTACAACAAACGCAACAGAGACAACTGGTCCAAATTTAGAAATTTTGGTGGAAGAAATAGTATTGAAACTTGTAGATCAGTTGTCGGGTCTCGTTGTACGCAATGAAGAGGAGGAAGGGGAAGATGAATTGGTCCACAATGACAATAGCGGAACCGTTGTTGAATGCCTCTTGCGCGAAATTAAAGTTGCTCATAGCAATCTTGGACAGAACATAACAACTTCGAAGATCGATATTAAAGGGTTCTCCTTAGGAGATGGAAAGGAAGATATACTATCCTTCATTCAGCCACCATCAGCCAAATCCTCACGAAAGCGCGGTTCACATACTTCATCCGTCACGTTTCCCGAAAATGATGTTTCGTTTATAATTTCTCAGAGCCCAACAAAGAAGAGAATAAACATCACGACGCTCCCGGTCAAGCTACATTTTGACCTTAAAAGGTTAGAGGACACCCTTGGAGCTTTCGGGGGTGTTGGAGGTGTTTTAGCCTCCACGTCTACGACAGCCTCCACGGTCACAATTACGAAAGGCAGATCTCCCGATACGCTTCAGAGGTGGGGAGCGAACGAGACAGAGCTACCAGAACTGAAAAAGAGTGATGTGAAAGTGCATTGTCAGATTGGAGGACTGAAGGTAGAAATTGTGGGTAGTACTGGGAAAGTCGGCCTCGAAACATCCCCACTAAAGATCAGGAGTGAAAACGGTAGTATCATCGTCCAATTGGACAAAATTGGGGTCTATGGGCCCGACCTACCATGGGATAATGGACGACAACAAGTTGAAACTAGTCTCATAGTCGAGAATACAAGAGTCGAATTCTTGAATAAGCCGGAACAAGAAGATTTGGCAATACTATTGGCACTGTTAACGCCAAGCAAGGATCAACATGTTGTGGAAGACGACGATATCATTATCGATACTCTAATTCGGCAGCGTCAACAGGGCACTATGCTCAGGATCGGGATAGGTGGCATCAAAGCAACCGTTGACGATCTCGGGGTGATTGAAAGATTACAACAAGTGGGAGAAGACGTGGTCAAGGTTCTTACCGCGACGGATTTCGTTACTCAAGAAGAACGCCCTGGCCTGCTGACGTTACTCCATATCGATTCCTTTCATGGTAGGGTCGAAGTTGGTGGTGGTGTTGGTAATCTTGAAGTAGATATGGGTGATTTTGGCGTTGCCCATGTCTCTCTTCCTAGTTTGTTTGCGCTCGCTGTTAGCAAGATTAAAGTCCGGCGCAATGGATCAGAGGAATTGCTAGGTGAAATTTTGCAGCGGAATATGCTGGATAAGAGCGAGGAGGGCAAATCTATGTTGATGGTCAGGGTCGTGGGTGATGAACCGGAGCCGGTTGTCAAAGTCAAACTCTGGAATATCAGGCTGGAGTACCGGGTTGAGACTTTGATGTCCTTGATGGATACTCCGCAAAAGGTGACAACCGAGGAGTTGGTGGCGGAGATGACTCACAGTGTCATTAATCTTGCTCAAAAAAGCTCTCGGGATGAAGACAAACCGCCGTGGGGGGTCGACATCGTTATGCGGGATTGTGTGCTTGGACTGAACCCATTGGGCCTAAAAAGCAGGGGACTGATCGTTCTTTCGGAGTCAAGAATCAATGCTACACTGCCGAGGAGAGGAAGGTTTCAAGTCGCCTTAGAAGTTAATAAGGCATTTGTCATGCTTATTGATGATACTTCAGATCTGAATCTATCTGACAGACCGGATCCCAGGCGGCGAAAAGCCAAAGTCAACCGACTGGTTGACCGCCTTTCAATTCAGGGCTATGTATCGGTGATCAGCATCTCTGCGGCGGATATCCTACTTCAGATTGTAGATGCCAAACGTAAAGGCGAAAAGGCGATTGACGTGGAGGTGAGGGATGACTTGTTAATCATTGAATCCTGTGCCGATTCTACACAAACCTTGTTGGGGATTGTCAATGGATTGAAGCCACCGATGCCAGAGGGGGACGAAATAAAATACCGGACAGAAATAATGCCTCTGGATGTCTTCAAATCTATGACTGAGGATGCCTTTGCCCAACCTTCACGACTGAAAGCAGGCTCAAAGGATCCGGTATTCTCATCAGACGACGAAGATGATGGGGACTTGGTTCACGATGATGTTCCGATGAATCTAACTTTTGTTGAGAGCTATTATGGTGGCCACCAACCTACGTCTTCTGTAAACATGCGGGAATCGGCACATACAAAGGACGAGCTCGCAAACAGCATGCTCGACGACGATCTAGGCAGCATCGCCCCAGGCCCGCGCAAGCCGCTTAGAGCTGGTGATAAGGGCATGTTAGCGTCTTTCACAGAGCAAGTGCATGTCCTCGAAAACGGGGATCTAGCAATTCTAGATGATCATTTTCATCACGTTCAGCGTCCTACTAATGCAAGAAAGACTAATTTGGAGGCGGTATATAAGTGGGATTCTTCTCGAAACGAATATGTCCCGTCTGACCACTCGCGTGTGACTCCATATTTCCCTCTGAGGATTAAGGTGCGAGACGTTCATGTCATTTGGAACCTCCACGACGGGTATGATTGGCCAGGCACAAGAGACGCAATCAGTCAAGCAGTCAAGAAAGTAGAAAGCAAAGCAGCCGAGAGAAGAAATCGCAAAGTGGCGTTCGACGTTGACGACGACGAAGGAAGTGTGATTGGCGACATCCTTTTTAATTCGATTTATATCGGAATACCGGGAAATAAAGATCCAAAGGAACTATCAAAAGCAATCTTTGACGATCAAATGAGCGAAACGTCGTTTGCGCCTAGCTCGGTCACCGATGACCCGTCTCGCCCTACAAGTCGTTCGGGAACTTCAGCGTTCGTGGGCGTGAAGTCTAGGAATCATAAACTCGCAAGAAGTAAAATGCACAAACTTCAAATTGAGTTGAAGGGGATCTGTGCCGACGTCCTGTTATTCCCCCCAGATTCCGGCGAAACCCAGAGCAGCGTGGATCTACGAGTGAAAGATTTCGAAATCTTCGATCTCGTTCCTACAAGTACTTGGAAAAAGTTTGTTACTTATATGCAGGATGCCGGAAAAAGGGAGACAGGAAGTAACATGCTTCATTTGGAGATTATGAGCGTGAAGCCAGTGCCACATCTTGCAGCTAGTGAAATTGTTCTGAGGGTATGTTTAGGTTTGCTTGCTTTGTGAATGAAAATTACTAATGGTTTTTAGGTCACAGTTCTGCCTCTACGACTACATGTGGACCAGGATACTTTGGATTTCCTGACAAGATTCTTCGAATTCAAGGATAGTACAGCGGACGCGCCTGGTGCTCCGACTGACGAACCATTCCTTCAGCGTGTAGAGGTCAACTCAGTCCGCGTAAAACTTGATTACAAGCCTAAAAAGGTCGATTATGCTGGTCTACGCTCTGGCCGAACGACTGAATTTATGAACTTTTTCATCCTCGAAGAAGCCGATATGGTACTTCGCCACTGCATCCTTTATGGTATTACTGGCTTCACAAAGATGTCGAAGATGTTGAACGACACCTGGATGCCAGACGTTCAAAGGACTCAGCTTGGGGATGTTCTCGCTGGTGTTGCGCCTGTCCGCAGTCTAGTCAACATTGGAGGTGGTGTGAAAAACCTTGTCTCGGTACCAATACGAGAGTACAAAAAAGATGGGCGAATTGTTCGCGCTGTCCAAAGAGGAATTGTAAGCTTCACAAAGACAACCACCGGCGAGCTCGTCCGTCTCGGTGCAAAGCTTGCCGTTGGAACCCAGAATGTTCTCCAAGACGCCGAAGAGTTTCTCGCCCCGACCCACGAACAGCACCATCACCATCATCATGGCGACGGAGATTCTGACTACATCGGTACCACTAGCGACTCTGATGAGGATACAGTGTTCCCTAGTAGCGGTAACAGTGGCGCGGGAGAGCGAAAGGTTATTAGTTTATATGCCGATCAGCCAATGGGAGTTATCGCAGGGCTTCGTGGGGCTGGCGATAGTCTGAAGAGAAACTTTGGAAGCGCAAGGGATGCCATAATGAATGTACCTGGTGATATCGCGGATACTGGAAGCGCCCAGGTTAGTCTTACCCCTCCAAGTGGACCTTTATATTTTGTTGTAGTATATTTGATCGAATGCTAATTTTTCGATTCGTAGGGAGCGGCCAAAGCAGTCATGAGAGCGGCGCCAGTCGCCATTATTAGACCGATGATCGGGGCTACCGAAGCGGCTTCTCGGGCTTTGTTGGGAGTTACAAATGCCATGGATCCGGAGCAGAAACGCAGGGTCGAAGACAAGTACAAGAAATACTGAGTTATGTATGCAGAGGAGTTTGGTTTGGTATCGGGTCACGGTTCTTTTATTTTCCCATATCGGATAAGGGTTTTTTATTGTCATGGGTGCAACTGGGGGTTTAATCGGTTTGACGCTTTGGTTTGCTGGTCTGATTTCATAAGGGTCATGATGGTTACACGACAAGGTATTCTGACGGATTGATGTTTTCTATTTTCTTTTTCTTTTTCAGTTTCTTTTTTTTCAATTTCGTTGTTTCTGGGATTATTATTACTACTATGGGTGGATATATACTGCATATTGCATTGCATTGCATTGCTTTGCATTTTTTCTTTCTTTCCCTTGTCATGAATATGATAATATGATTTTATTTTTTGCTTCCGTTTTGACTTTTGGCTGGGATTTTGAAGTTTTTTTTTGGAGGGATTTGAAGATATGTGTTGCTAGAATATACTACGTAGATATTATATTTTTTTGTTTGCATGCATGCTCGCTAGTTCGCACCTACCTACATATAGGAAGAAGTTACGACACAATAAACCTATTTCCTTGGAAGTCTGAGACCATAAGTGCCATCATGTAACTCTCCCACCACACCCGCTGCACGCACCTCAGCTGCCTTTTTAAAGGTAAAAATCATGATGCCCCCCCCCCAAGGGACGAGGGGCGTCTAACTCCGAGAACTACTTATCGGGACACGTTGCTTTTACCTCCCCCCCCCCCCCTTTCTTTCCCCCTCTTTGAGAGGGTTTGGGGTGGGGGGGTAACTAGATGTAGTTGGATCGGGCTGTTGGGGTCAGGACAATGGAATTGGGGTCATGGTGGTTAGTGGTGTGCTAGTTCTGTGACCGTGGGTGATGCGATGGGTGTTGAGGTCAGTTGAGTAGTGTAGATGATGGAGTCAGGAAAGAAATATGGATGACGCGATTGAATGCCTTGGTGAGGTTATCTGTGTTACTACATCTAGAGTACATACATGTAGTGGTTGTGTGGTTGTGTGGTTCTAAGTTACGTGACGTCCTCCGCGCCCCGGAGTCATGGGTTCTCACTCGCGTGGCCGTGACAACGACGCCCAGCGGCCGCCTATACAGTCACGTTTTTCAGCGGTCGCCATACTTGTGGCTGGTGAGATTTGATATTCATCAGTGCCCGTCCGGCCCATGGCATGAATGATCTACCACTGATTTACAATTTTGTCTACTGCGATAACTAACTAAGCGGCGTAGCTTAACGGACGAGAATCTAGACTCAACACCCCTCGAGCGCTCCCGCTCCCGATCCCGGGCCGGGATGCTAGCCAGCTACATGTAGTTATATACGCCGCACCGTCGCGGGCCAGGCGCCGCCCGACCGCATGTCTGGATGTCCACCCGCCCAGATGAAGTGCTTGCGGGAGGAAGTACGTTCAGGTTCTGCCAGGTGGGTTCAAAGGCGGGCGGGTATTGCCTGGTACCCCTACGTGCGCTGCAGGAGAAGTAGCAATGGCATACTTGATAGCGGCGGGTGATTGGTGGCCGGGCGCTTGGGGGTGCGCCTGGGGTATACTTAGAAGCTCGCTAGAGTGTATGTAGTTTGCATTGTATGCTAGAGTAGAGTGGAGTAGAGGACCTGGGATGCATAACGAACGGGACACGCTGCATGCGCGCATATCTTCTTGAAGAGAGCACACACTCTACATTCAAATAGGTACTTGGGGAACATAATTAGCTAGCTAGCTATCAAAGGACCCCCCATGCAAAGCGCGTAAACAATCCCATCATGCGCAGCTATTCCATGCATTTAAACGCGCCGCAGACCTGCACTAGCCACAGCCACTCTAAATACATCATATGTACCCAGCCAGGATCACCACCACCACAACGACGGACATGGATATACCCATCCACCATCACCAGGGGTCTATATGAAACAGGTGCTGTTTCCAGGAGAGGGCAGGTAGGTACGAGCACCCCCCAGATAGATGCAGGTACAGCTGTTCCGGAGAATTATTACGCATGCGGATGTGCTAATACCACAGTGCGCTGGATATTGGAGGGGAGGCAGGAATAGACACATGTAACCCGACCCTTTTGGTCGGATGGTCGGATGTGGCCGAAGTGCTGGCTCGGGTAGATGTGTATGAAGGATCGTATTATAATGAGGAGTGGATACGTATGTGGCGAATGAGATCGGGGGTACAGGGTGGGGCTTAATGCTAGTGATACGAAGGGGCGCTTGGAAGCATAGGTGCTCACTCGTCTCAACTTCCTGAGGCACGGAAATGATAGGGAGGATAAAACTGTTAGTGGGTCTTTTGGGGATTTTTGGTTGACCGCAGGTACGACAAGATGGTTCTCTGGACCTGGGTACAGGTGCTGTGTGGTACATGGCGGGAATCTGGTCTCTGGTGTTCATGCAGGCGCGCATGTCATGCCTGCAGCTTGGCGATAGAAGCTTTGGGAGTACATGTAGGGCTCCGTATATTGTGCCACAGAGGTCGACGGGGATGGTGAAGAGGTGGATTGTCGGCCTGGGTAGAATTTCGGGGGAGTGCGACTGCAGCTTGAGCGAGGGGATGTCGGAGTTGATGCATGCAGTTATCATAGGTGATCATTCTTCGAAAACGGATGATAGGTGCTGTGTGGGCTTATGCGGGTCGGCCGATGATCTTTTCTGTCCTGGTTGAGCCGGCCCGAAGGTATACGTACGGCCCGACAAAGATCTTTAGATGCTAGGCTCCGAGTGGACACCTATCATCGAAACCTTATGTCGTTGACTTCATCTTATCTCGTCCTATGTAACTGTGTTTTAATCCATCATTATCTATCTACTGGAATATAGACTAGTCCAGACCGTTACTTCTGAGCTCTACTCTCTTCTATATCCCCATTCAAAGTCTCAAGCGAGCATTGCAAAACTGTTCAATGGCGGATAAACCCTCGACACCGCTAAGTAATTAAATCTCTACCACAAAGCCAGCTAGTATGAGGCGCCTTTCATCCCGATCCGGCCAAGATACCGATCAACACGACACAATTTGCGCCTCTCTGTTGCTTCCCCGACAAACAAAATCATAGACGCTGGAATTACGGTTGCAACAAAGGATAAATTCCGAGTGATTCGGCATGATTGACCACCAGCCTTCTGCAGGAACGATTTGCGTGCTGCTATTAGGCATCACAAACATCGAGCCCTCATTTCGTAGTAAGCCAATCTTAAGACCAGCGATCAATAGAATGGATTTTAACGTTTTCGGGAATCTCCTCAGAGATACAGATAGCCGGCATCACATGTGTATCTAAGGAGCCGCAGCCGAGTGGACAATATGGTGTAATTTGAGGCTTTATGGCTCTCAATGTGATCCGTGTTAATATACCGTGATCTGATACACCCTTAAACCGGAGACTTTTTGACAGCCGGTAGCTGTAGCGGCAGTCGATACAACTGCTTTCCGCACAGGAATCTATGGGCAACATCTCCTCCGGTTTCCCCGATTCTCCCAATGTACTCTAGGTACGGTTAATCCTCACCAATAGTTTGCTAGGCAACACACCCTCATCAATGCGCAGGCAGGCGCACACACAACCCGCACCTTCCACATCTTCCACACCTCCGAGCTCAATCTCAACCACCTCCCAATTGAAACACCCGTTAAGCTTTGCAGTAGGATCATCGATGTTTAAATTCCCCCTGTTCCGAGATCTGGCTTCCTAAAGAAGAGAAGAGGAACGGCCAATACCCTGCCAGCCAAGACATGTCGATCCCGAGTCCAGGTTTTACGCCGATCCCCCAGGAAGCGAGAAAGCCTATTATTGGCCAAACCCTGAGATTTCTTCAAGCCCCTTCAGCTTCCGCCATCTGCTAGTGATACTTCGCGTGTCTACTACCGGAGGAACAGCGATTGGTAGAGCTGGAGAATCTTGTTTGTCATGAAACGGCCCGACGTTGGGTGGGCGGGGTTGGGTGGAGGCTAGGTTCAACGGTTGGATCTGAAACTGTCTTTCCCTTATTCTTGCTTCCGGTTCGCTGAGTTAACCGCTTGGCTTTTAGGTCGACATCTAGAAGAACGAAGAGTGGCAATCGAATGGCTAGTACGTACCCGTGGCAAGAGAAGGTAGTCGAGAAGGGAGGAGATTTGATACAACGAAGGCCCCCCAAGTGGCAGGTACTCTACCATCGCCTCGCCTCCTCTTCCCGCTCCCCTTAGTCTGACGAAGATACATTGGCTGTCAAGTAGATGGAGGCTTACAACTTGCAATCTAGTACAGCTAGTTTGTAACCGTTGAAGTCGAGGATTTACGATCATAAAGCCCAAACACGGGGGTGGTGAGGAAAGAAAAGGGTGCATATCGCGTATCCCTGCCCTATATGCAGGTACTTGCTCTAGCCTTTAGAGCTACTGCACTAGCAAGGGCCTCCTCCCAATATGCGCTAGCAAAAATATGGTTTCTCCGTTACACATAGACCCGCACAGCGCCAAAGAGTCTGTGGCATGTCAGTTCAGAGCTCAAGATGGGATGTACGCAGCAGAGTCTCACAGTGACGTGATAATTTAGAATTTTCTCAAGATATGCTTTCGGGCGGGACCGTCAACTATCCATCAATGTGGTAGGTGGCTTTTGATGGCTTTTACTGGATGCTGCACCTTCATCCAGGTGTAGAGCTCAATCTTGGACCTGGTACAGAAATTAAAGCTTAATTGATATCTCGAGGCTGGACCAATTGAGCCATCTCTCCGTACTGGAACCGGATGGCGATCGAAACAAAAACGGGGTACCGCCAGAATGGTGAGATTACAGTAGATGGGAAAACAACGAATAGGAGTGAAAATAGCTGCTTCGATTACAGAATCAATGAGGATAGGCGTTGCAATATTGCCCATATTGCCAACATTGCCAAGGGTCAAATAAACTATTAGCACGGCAGGATCTTAATTCCAGCAGTACCCAATGGATCGGGCAATAAACCGAATAGCGTTATTGCTAATATCGAGGAACAGCTTCGGCCTGCTCCCGGACATGTGGGGAACACTGAGACAGTGA